TTATACCGCTTGAGGCCAGCGAGTGCTGTCGGCCACCTGCTGCCATCGAGCTGGTGCATTTCACTGCTGCGCCATCTGAATCATCCCGTCCTTCCTTTTCCTTATTATTTTAGACTTTTATTAGAGGTAGGGATAATTGACGAGTGATGACGTAATTCCTAAAATGAGGAAATAAAATGTTCAAGATGTTGGAAACGTAAGGTACTGTGGTCTCATCACACAGCTTCTGCCGGTAAGAGTCCAGTGGACCCATGTAGAAATCACACTATAGGATCCACTTTACTCTTTTAAAAAAGTAAAATTTTATTCTTTAGATCTCTAAGAAAATAAAAGTCATAATACGTCAAAACTAAAATTGTGTCCGAGGGACTTTGATATATCTGAGTTGATGTTTAAATGCGATAATTAAAGTTTGAGGTTAGATGAAGATGAGCCACTTATTTTTGGCATTCGCTTTGTTAAGCAAACAGATAGCTTGAAAGTGTGTTTTTGACCTTTGACCCGCCGTCGCAGGACCCCCTCTGGAAAGTGCGCCGCAGCCAGAAGCTGGACATGTCGGCACGGCTGGAGCTGCAGTCGGCGCTGGAGGCAGAGATCCGGGCCAAACAGCTCGTGCAGGAGGAGCTGCGGCGGGCCAAGGACTCGGCGCTCTCCTTTGAAAGGTGCTTGTCCGCGCTCTGGCTCCCGCTGGGCTTGCCCCGAGCTGCTCCGTGCCAGCGTGCCTGCTGTCCCCCCTCACAGATGGCACTGAGTCATTCCCCAGTGTCCCCCACTAAGTGAGTGCAGGTCCCAGGCTTTGGCGCCGACCGGCCTGCTCACCTTCAGGCCACGTGTTGCCTATAGCGGCCTGACTCTCTCCGGCCCCTCGGCCCCTCCAGGGAGGCGTGGGAACCGCGAGACCCTGTGCCCGGGCCGCATGAGAACACCCTTGGGTGCAGCCGCCTTCTTCCCGTTATGGGAAAGACACAAGTCTGCCGGCTGCGTGATCTGGGCCGCGTGTCCTTGAGGACAGGGCTCGTCAACAAAGAGATAAGGAATGTCGAAACCCCGTGAGGCTCCCTGATGTTACACTCTGTCTCTGTCTACAATGCTGGAGCGCGTGTGCTCTCCATTGTGCAGCGTGCTGGGGCCCGCCCGTGCCAGGCGCGGGTCCGCGTGTCTGTCCAGCAGGGCTGGCCAGCCCCTGCCCGGTCCCACGCTTTCCCGGGCATGAGAGACAGCCTGCCCTCACATCCTGTCACAGCCAGCACATGGGTGACCTGTTCTCTGTGCACTTAAAGCCGTTTATTTTTTATTTTAGTAAACTAAAGGATTCGGAAGCCAAAAATAGAGAATTGTTAGAAGAAATGGAAATTTTGAAGAAGAAGATGGAAGAAAAATTTAGAGCAGATACTGGTAAATTAAAATACTAAGTTTCTACATTTTTAAAGTAAAAGCCTTTTTTAATGAAAATGTTTTATTTTAGATTCTATGTCTTTTAGATTTAACAGTTTTAGTTACATAAAGAAAGCACTTATGTCATTCCAAAGCCAAAGCTCTGGAATAGGATGAGTTCGATGATCCCTTCCCCAGAGCTACCGTTTCCACTTGATCCTTCATTTCATCTTGAGAACATAAAGCAAATACGCGCGCGCATATGTGTGTGTGTGTGTGAGTGTGTGTGTGTGTGTGTGTGTGTGTGAGAGTGTGTGTGTGGTCAGACATCCTGACCCTGACTGCAAAGGCCCGCTGTGTGCAGCATTCTGTGCGTGGGCTTTCGGGATCCCTTCCCTGTCACACAGGGCACTGCGGTGGGCCGCAGCTGCCCAGTGGCATGGCACCGGGCTGTCCGTCCTTGCTCTCACAGATGCTGCCACGTGTAGCCGTGTGCCCGTGACGTTTCACGTTTCTGTCTGTTTTGGGGTAGATTTCCAGAAGTGGGGTTGCTCGTCCAAGGGTAGGTGTGCATATGCTTCTGCTGGATGTTGCCAGATTCCACTCCAGAGGCTTGTACCTTTGTGGGGTCCCTGCTCCCACAGCCTCGCCCACAAAGTATGATTTCACACTCTGGTTAGATGAGAAGCAGCATCGCAGTACAGACTTCGTTTGCGTTTTTCTCATGAGCAAGATTAAGCATCTTTTTTTTTAATGTTTAAGGGCTATTTTTTATTTCTATTTCTCTGTCTTGTATTTCTGTGTCCTTTGCCCATTTTAAAGATTTAGATTGTCTTTTTCTTAGTTTTCAGAAGCTTTTTATAAATTGAGCTTTCGTTTGTGACAGAAGTTGCAAATATTTTTCCTAGGTTGTCTTTTATCTTTTTGCTTGGCTTATGATATTGTTTTTGCCAAACAAAAGGGTTTTTTAAATTCTTTTGTCAAATTTATCAGTTTTTTTCTCTTTTTAAGTCATAGGGAGATGTTCTGGGTTCCTAGTTGTTCAAGTAGTTCACCCGTGTTTTCTTCCAATACCTGTATGGTTTCATTTTTTTAAATTTAGGTTACCGATTCCTTTGGAATTCACTCTGACGTACAGTTCGGAGAATGAATCCAGTTTTATCGTTTTCCTTTGGCTAGTTAGTTGTCCGATGCCAGTTATCACAAAGCGCCCTCCCGGCCAATTTCACGTGGCTCGTTCCATTGATTTTGAAGATTGCTCTGGGCACCGGGCTGTTTCTGGCTTTTCTACCCTGTTCGTTGTTCGTGGGCAAGAGCCTTTTGTGGATCTGTTTTCGTGCCCGATAGGTCACCCCCACCCCCCTTTTTTTTAGAGAGATTTTTAATCTTCCTTGTTTACTCTCCCAAGTGAACTTTTCAGTTCACGCGTCCAGCTCTGGAAAAACATGTGGTGGTGGTTTCCGTGGCGCCCCCTCAGGTTCGTCCGCTGACCTCGGGAGAACTGGAGTCTCGTGGCACTGAGTCTGCCCGTGACACAGCGTAGTCTCCTACCTTAACTGACGTTTCTTCTTCCTTACAGGACTCAAACTTCCAGATTTTCAGGATTCTATTTTTGAGTATTTCAACACTGCTCCTCTCGCACACGATCTGACATTTCGAGTAAGTTTTTAAAAAGTGGCATGAATTTGTGATAAGTTAGAAATCGTGTAATATGATTTGAGTACCTGTGGGACCACAAACACTCCAGTAAATTAACATCTGACTGTTGACCTCGATTGTGCTCACCTGGCATGCCAGAGACGCTTCCCAGGACTGAGTGGGGGCTGGTGAGGCAAGTGATCAGCATCCTCGGGGGGACTTCTGTGCGGGCCTTGCCTGCACGGTCGGTGTTTCAGGTGACTTTCTAAATACAGATTCTCACACCGCAGCAGACGGAGGCTGAGTTGGACGTGTTGCCATCTGGGTGACTTCTTTGTGGCGCCACAGCTTGGTCTCGGTGGGGTGGGGGTGGCTTATGAGAAAGCCCTGCCCCAGGCACCTCGTCGTGGTCCTGGACTTGGAGCTTGGTGCCGCACAGCCGGCCAGGGTGCTGTCTGCTTCGGAGGGCCGCTGAGTGCAGCATGAACCCCACTGCCCCCCTTACGCTGTGCTGCTTCACTACAGACTTTCTCCCTTTTTCCAGAACAGTAGGGGTGGACCCTTACTAGCAGCCCCTTTGAGGCAAGCCAGAAAGTAAAAATAACAAAAGCAAATCTCGTTCACGAGATTTCTGTGAGATGTCTGTCGTTTTTGTTGGTTTTCCGACTTTTTGTTTAGAAAATTTTAAACCTGTAGGAAAGTTGAGAGAACAATGCAGGGAACGTACATTATCTGTCCTGGCGTCCTGCCACGTTTGCTCCCTCTGTCCATATGCACAAAGACTTCTGTCCCCCGAACTACTTGAAAGTGAGTTGTAGACATCAGTGGCCCCGGAATGCTTCAGAGTTCATTTCCTAAGACGCAGGCGTGCCCACGTCACCCCGACACCGCTGGTGTGTGGAAGGTGTGGGCACGGGTGCGCCAGGTCAGGGCCCAGCCAGCCTTAGCCGTCACGACTCTGGTCGCCTTTCCTCTGGCACCGTGCCCCCCCCTTTCGTAGCATGGATATTCTCATAGTACCCAGACCAGTGTCTCGTCGAGTGTCTTCCACTATCGATTGGTCCGGTACATCCTTTTGCTTAGATGTGGGTTGAAAATTTTGGCGCGGATTCTGCACAGGAGGTGTGCACGTCCCACGTGTGGAGGCCAGTTTGCCCAGCGTTGCTGATGCTAAGTCTGGTCATTAGGTTGAGGTGGGGTGTACCAGACCTCATCCCTGGGAGGGGCCGCAGTGAGCAGTCAGCAGGTGACCATTGGGTGCCTCCGCCAGCAGTGGGTTGGGTTAGCGTGCGTCAGTGACCTTGCTCGGACGAGCTGCTGCAAGATCCAGGCAGGTTTGTGCACACCTGTTACATTCACCTGTCAGATGCTGTTTTATCACATCAGCAGTGCTTGTCTTTTTCTTGAAGTCCTCAATCTTTAAGAAGCAAATACATTTAGGCATCAGGTGCACGCTGGTTCTTAGGAAAACCTGCCGCTGCACGGGCCGCGTGCCTTTTCCCGTCGCTGCGTGTCGGCCCCGTCCGGTGGGAGTGAGTCAGACGGCGAGGAACCAAGGACGGTGATCGTTAACGGGGGGCAGGCGGCCACGAAAGCACGGCTTTTCTCTTAAAGTAGTGGGCAGGGTCCGTCCCTCTGGCAGGTGGCTTCCAGCTCAGACCATCCCATCTCTGGACGACTGCAGAGCACTGCAGCCTGGAGATGGGGGTCCTGGCCTCAGCACCTTATCCTCTGTAGCCGGCACGCCTGTATTTTAGTGTTTAATTTCAGTCCTTCTTGAATTTCTCTGTGGTTTAAGTAGGAAGGACATTTGCTGATGGAAAAAAAATCCTTGGTCAGAATCTGGGTCTGTTAGGAGGTGTTTCCAGACCCAAGAATCGTCTTCTAGAAGCTTCTGTGTCCCTTCCCACTATTAAACCTGTTTAGTACTAGAAATGGTGTGCCACCACAACCGAATCAGTATGTTTTCGTGCATGTTTTTATTGGGTGGGAAATGATCGTTTTGTTCCTCCTGTCTGCCACCACCAAGGACTCTGTCTCCTCCTCCGCATCCTCCCTGCTAGCCTCTTGGGAAGAAGTAAGTCACTGCCGATGCTGGCTTCCGTCGCCTGTCACTCACACCCGTGGAGCAGCGCTCCAAATGTGGCGTCTCCTGTTCCTTAATTTGCATCCTTTTGATAATTAACCAACTAAATGAAACTAGTGGGTACATGGCTAAAATTCAATCACTTAATATTCCTTTGCTCTCTATCTAAAGCTGGAAATCTAACTCATTTAAAATACCTTGTTTATGGGAGAAATTTGCTTACATTTATAGCTTTGATAATTAGTCTTTCCCTTGTGAATTTCTTTACAAATCCAAAGATTGCAGTATACGATCGTGATGAGTGTTGTGTATATGCACCCCCTTCCCGTCTGAACTTGGCTCTTTACACAGCAGCCTAATTAATGCAACTGTCGGGAAGTGTTTCTCTGATTGGTTCATTGGGATCTCGGTGTGGAACATCAGGTACAGCCGAAAACGGCTCTCACAGGGCACTTCCCAGCTCCTTTATGTGCTGGCGTGCGGTTTCCTCGTGCTGGCGCTCACAAGCATACGAAACGGCGTGTGCATGTCTGCGTGAATACTAACAACCTTTGATGAAATCAGTTTCAGAAACACTTATTAAAATAGTCATTTTTAAGTGGTTTTAGAATACACCTTTTGCTTCAAATTAGCTTCGGAGCTTTAGCTTCAGTGAAATTAATGGGGGGGATCTGGAGTTATTAGAATAAATAAAAACACTGCTTCTGTGCATCACAAAAGTTTTAGGGAAATTTTTATTCTGGTCATAGGCCCACAGGCCTCTGTCGATATGAGAATTTATTCTTGATCCCTGAAAAAGTGAAGAAGCATTTAGCTGCTTTATTTAAGGCTACCAGGGACAGACGAAGCCACTGCTGAATGACACGGGGTGGGGGGAGGGCTGCAGCTGGAGGTGAGGCCAGATGGCTTCTGTCTTTGCTGCTGCTGACTGTGACTTGTGGGACTCCATCTGTCCAGCACTCACCATTCCAGCCTTAGAATGCCACGGCAGCGGCCCACAGGGAAGGCAGGTCAGCTGTGAGTGAATGGGGGGTGGTCCGTGACACCGGGGACTCACAGGAATAAGAACCTGTACTGGGAACTTGGGTCCCCAGTGGAGTGTGTTTTTTAAATAAAGAACGTGTCGTTAGAGTTTGAACTCTGCAGAATAAGTTCATTCATTCCCACTATTTCTTTGCCTTTTTTTCAACAGACGAGCTCAGCTAGTGAACAAGAAACACAAGCTCCAAAGCCAGAAGTGTCCCCGTTGACATCCGTGGCCGCAAGCACAGAACAGCAGGAAGTAAGACATTGTTGCCCGGTGACACTGCAGACCCTCGAGTCTGCTCCCCCTGGCCCCCCCGCCCCAGTGTCCATGTGCCACCCACTGCCCTTGAACAGAAGCTGCTCTGAGGCCGAGGCCAGCTGGCTGGTCCCACCTCGCAGCCCCCAGCTCTGAGCCTGGCTTGCATTTCCGAATTGCTCTCAGTGCCCCAGCCAGGTGACAATTGCTTGGACAGGTGTGTCAACAATGCAGTGAATTAAAAATGCAGAAGTGTTCATTATTGATCAGTTGTAGAGAGAAGTGATCGCAGACAGGGTTGACGTGTAGGAGCAGTGCTGAGCTAGACGGCACACTCACCTGTCCTTGCTTGTCTCCCAGGACATGGCTCGGGCCCCGCAGAGGCCGCCCTCCGGGCCGCTGCCCCCGTCACAAGCCCTCACTCTGGCTGGACCGAAGGTAGGCCTTGCTTTTACCCGTGAGCCTTCTCAGTTTTTGAATGTGACTTCCGTGTAAGCAAGACAGGCATGATTTTTGTACGCACAGCAAACCCTTGTGTTTCGCTAAATGGTTTATTTCTAATAGTGTGTGATCCAGGAAGTGTCAGGACCTGTGTTTTCGTCATTGAACCGACACACAAACGCACTTTAATTGAAAAATTTCAGAGTTCAGTCTCCCCTGTCCCCTTCTTCATCCCCCACCATAGTGCCCTCTCCTGAGGGAACTGCTCTGTTTTATATCCACTAAGTTCCTTTTCCAAGTCTACTTCTGCTTCTCTGTCTCCATGTGGTTTGTGGGGGACTCTTCCCCCACGTGCGTGGGAGCGCAGTGCACGTGCGCGTCACAGAGCGTCTCTCATCCGTGTGTTTTGGAGAGCTCTGCACGCCAGCGCGTACGGGCCCGGCACAGGTCACGGCGTCCCAGCCAGGACAGGGCCAGCTGGCCCTGGGCTCACGTGCTTGGGCACCGGTTTCCTTTAACGTAGGCGTGGCTTCTTTTAGGGTTTCCGCCATCGACAGCCACGCCACCTAGCGATAAGGAACTCGGCTGTTTGAGACGCACGAGAGGCCCGGCTTCTGGTCTGTGGTTCTCGTGGAGTTGGGGACCACACATGTGGACTGCGCCTGGGTTTTGTGTTGATCGCTCCCTGGCTTCTTACAGATGGTCCACCACACTTATGTCCCCTGAGTGATAAATCCTCCCACTCTGCGGTGTTCGAGCCTTAGAGACACAGCGTCCTCTCCACGTGGCCTTACACTTCCTCCGTTGCCGATGGGGTCGTGATGCGTCCCTTCTCCCAGTGAGGGACAGCGGGCCTTCCTGCTCTTGCCGTTAGCACCATGCTGCCGGTCATTTCCTGCATGTCTCTTGGTGTCACATGGAAGGGCTGATGTAGGTGGGAGCCTGCCCCACACTGCGGCCCCGGGCCAGACCCCAGGAGGCTCTAGGCGGTGAGGTGGCTGTGCCAGAACAAGCGTCAGCCGTGCCGCTGCTGCGCCCAGCCAGGCGGCCTTTCTCTCCGCGGTAGTGAGTCTTCTCTGGAGGAGGCGTGCGCCGACTCCTCCTGGCTCCGGCTCCTCGGGAGGGTGTTCACCACCGGTCCCTGCTTAGCGCTGCCCGGGGCCCGCACACCTCACCGCACAGTTGCCCATTTTCAGCTTTTCAAGATCGTGCCCAGGTTGTTTTGTGAGCTCAGTCACACATGGACGCGTCTTTTCTCAAATGCGCTTCACCTTCTCGATGCTCTTCCTCCAGCCCAAAGCTCACCAGTTCAGCATCAAGTCCTTCTCCAGCCCCACGCAGTGCAGCCACTGCACCTCCCTGATGGTGGGGCTGATCCGGCAGGGCTACGCCTGCGAGGGTGAGTGTCCGTCCGCTTGCTGCCGTGTCCCCCGTGTCCCCTGGCACCAGCCATCTCAGGGGAGAGCAGTTATTATAAAGGCAAATAGGGCTGAAAAGAAGTCCTGTGAGCTGAGGACAGATTCTCTCTTTTTAGTCCTGTGAATTCTCAGTAAAGACCAGGAGTTCAGTCCTGAATCCTTGCTGTGGTGGGAGACACCTGCCTACGGTGTGGCCTAGGGCCGGGGTCCCCAGCCCCTGGGCCATGGACTGGTCCTGATCCTTGCCTGTTAAGAACCGGGCTGCAGGCGGACGAGCGAACCTTCCAGCGCTGGCACCACCACGTCAGGTCCACCTCACGTCATCAGGCGTTAGATTCTCAGGGCACTGGTCCCTGCTGCCACAGAGGTTGGGGACCACTGTTCTAGGTCATTTATTGTTGATTGTTGATCATAAGAGAGAACAATCCAAACGATCATAGTCGTTTTGGAAAATTAGCAAAAGCAGGGAGTAAAAAGGACTTTAAGACCGTCCCCTGTCAGGTCCTCTGAGGAGAAGCCCTGTCACCTGTGCCTCCTGGCTACAACCACTGTCAGTGGTGAAGCCCGTGTTGTGCTCTCATTCGGTGACATGACCAGTGCTGTGCCACCAGCCAAGGTCACGTGATGCTAGGTGACGGCCCTGGGGCTGAGCAGGCCCTGAGCGCCCTCCGCACCGCTGGTCAGCTGGCCGCCATGCTCTGTAGAAGTCGCATTTCCTTCGTGTGCCAGGGCCACAGAAGCCTCTGCCTTTGTTACTTAAACTCGGTGGGCCTTTGCTTGGCTGCCAGGACCCCTGCGTGTCATTGACACCATCGCCCTGTCACAGACCTGCGGGTCGTGTTCTTCGAGGGGATTCTGAAACCTAGCTGGAGTGAGGCGCAGGGCCTTCTGGGAGAACCAGAGGCAGAGCGTCGCGATGCTCCTTCCCCGTCAGGGGTCCTCGCTCCCGAGTGCCACTGTGGGTGCGCTGAGACGTCACCCGGGCCACAGCCCCTGAGCTTCGGTGGGAACCGGGTTAGTCGAGGGTCTGGGCCGTTTCTGGCAACACTTGGGAATTGCCATGTGGCGTTGCTGACGTGCACCTTCGCTTTTCCAGTGTGCTCGTTCGCTTGCCACGTCTCCTGCAAGGACAGCGCTCCGCAGGTGTGCCCCATCCCTCCCGAGCAGTCCCGGCGGCCCCTCGGCGTGGACGTGCAGAGAGGCGTGGGCACCGCCTACAAGGGCTACGTGAAGGTAGGAGTGAGGACAGCCCAGGGCGGGTCCTGGGGAAGGAGCAGGGCCCCGTCCCGCCCCCTGGGCTGCACACTTGGAAGACAAGGTTCCAGAGCCGAGGGCTCTGCGAAGACCACTGTGCCCACCGGTGCCGAGCGCCTGTCCCACAGGAGCATCGTAGTTCTCCATGCCGGTGTGAGCGCTCCTGCTGGCCGAGGTGTCCTCCTTGTCCCCACGTTAGCTCTTGGGAGCACAGCCCCTCCCCAGCAGTGCCCTGAGACTCGTAGGATCCAGACGGGACTCTGGGCACCAGCCCGGCGGGGCCTGGGGTGCTGTCCCCAGCGAAGCAGGCCAGCGTGCAGCAGCCAGAGGGAGGTGGCGGGTGCAGAGGCGCCTCCAGGAGGTCCCCTAGGGCCCCAGACTCCATGTGCCGCTGCCTGGACGGTCGTGACTGGCCCGCTTGGCCCAGTGAGACGTGGTCGCTGTCTATCTGTAGGTCCCAAAGCCTACCGGGGTGAAGAAGGGGTGGCAGCGGGCATACGCGGTCGTCTGTGACTGTAAGCTCTTTCTCTACGACCTGCCTGAGGGGAAGTCCACCCAGCCCGGCGTCGTCGCCAGCCAGGTCTTGGATCTCAGGTGCGTGCCCGCGCCCGCGCCCGCGCCCCGTGAGTTGGAACGCACCTTCCGCCAAGACAAGTTTGTTGCTTGACCTAACTCACGTATATGTCTTGGATCTCAGGTGCGTGCCCGCGCCCGCGCCCCGTGAGTTGGAACGCGCCTTCCGCCAAGACGAGTTTGTTGCTTGACCTAACTCACGTATACCTGCACACCCTTAACTACCGTGCTGTTCCGAGAACAGGTGCTTAACTGCATGCCAGAAACTTCCTGCTTTTGACATTTTTTACGCTGGAAAACATGCCAAATGAGCGTTTAACATAAGAAAACCACATGCCCCAAGAACAAGTGGAAACTTTCTCAGAGACACGTTGAATGTGGTGTCTCTGCTCTCAGGCCCTGACAGGCACTCTTGTTTGTGACAGATCCAGAGCTCTGGGCTTTGTGTGACCTTTGGCTGTATGGCAGCATTTCTTACCACCTCCAGCCTTGTCAGGCGCCTCCCGAGCACCAAGCCCAGGGAAATAGTGGGGCTCTCCCTTGCACCGAGCCTGGGAGACAGTGGGGCACCCCCAGCACCCATCACGGGGAGACAGCAGGGTGCACCCTTCCCTCTAGGCTTCCTTGTAGTTGATGCTTCACTCTTGTTTGTGAAATGGGCTCAGTGGTAACGTCATGGAAGTTGGAAGGTTGTCGTGGAGATTTAAAAACTTAATAGATGGGACAGGCTTAGCCCAGGGCTTGGCGTGGGAAGCTGTTGCTGCTGCTGCTGTGTCATCTCCTGTCCCTCTGTCACCAACCCCCAGGGCCACACAGGACAATACCTGCAGATGATGTGAGCGTGCTGGCACCTGCCCAGGGCTAGTGCCTGGCCTGGAGCCTCGGTCTCCAGCGTTGGTTCTGGGCGGGCAAGGGTGCTATGGCAGGTGCCGCCGAGGACAGCCAGGTAGCAGAGTCACCTCCACAACGGTTTCCACTTTCCATGTCCCCAGCCCGCGGGGCGGGCCGAACAGCTGGGGCCTGTGTTTTGGAAAATAGCCTGGTGATTCTGCTTGTCCCTTGCTGGGCACGAGTAGGCTCTAGCCTGGTGACGAAGAGGCCACTGGTGGGCATTACAGGGGTGGCGCGTGGAACGTAGAGCCCAGGGCTTAGCACGCGCTGGAGATGGGGCTCCCGGGGCTGTCTCAGCACGCTTTATGCCCTTTAAAAGTGACAGCCAAGCAGCTGCCCGATGGTAGCCAAATATGGGCCTAATCAGCGAGGTGGCATTTGTAGTGAGGACAGTCTGACTAGGGCTAGAACAGTGTGACCCTTCAGTTCTCAGACATCCCTGATCATTGAAACACACGCAGGATTCTTGAGTCATCTGTTCGTCGGCATTATCAGTGGAAGCAACTTCTTACCCAGGTGTTCGAGACAACTGTCACGAAAAGTGTCCTTCCTTTCTCGTGAGACGTGTAGCACACGGGTGGAGGGCAGACGCACGCGCGTGGTCCCTGCCCAGCATCCTGAACGTCGCGTTTCTCACCAGAGATGAAGAGTTCTCCGTGAGCTCGGTCCTGGCCTCGGACGTCATCCACGCTTCCCGCCGAGACGTTCCGTGCATATTCAGGGTACGCCGTTTCTGTTTCTTAGAGACGCTTCATTAGCCGTGAAAAAACTCCCATGGTTGAAGCCGAACGATTCTTCGAGCGTTTCACTGTGCGCCCCGAAGGCCGTCCCGTGTCCCACCCTCCTTTCCTGCTCCGAGTCCACGCGCTTCGTGCCCACCCTGCCCTCGCCCGCCTCCCTTGCCAAGCCGCAGACTCCTCTGCACGTGCTGGCGCCCTGTGGTTGGGGCACCTCCCAGCAGCTTCTTCCTCGGGCCGGCTCCCCACAGCGCTGGCCCTCCTTCCCGTCCCGCATCCTGCGTGGTCCGCGTCCTGGCTGCGCTAGCACGCTGATGCTGGAGCGTCCCCTTCTCTCCTGAGCGTTTACTGGACGCGAACTGGAACAAAACGGGGGAAAGTCAGCAGACGTTGCTCATCCGCATTCTCGCTGGCTGAGGCAGAGTCCCCGCTGAGTCAGTGTCAGGCCCTGTGGCATCAGGAAGATTCCAGATGGTGGGTCAGGCCAAGACGCCCCCGGCCCCTTCCCCTGGGGGTTTTATAAACACGGTGAGGTTTTGGTTGACCAGAAAACTAAGTCTGTGAATCGTTTTTATTAAATCACATCACTACTCAGAAAGCACTTCACGTATCCAATACAGAAAATTGCCATCATCGTGTGCTTAAAAGGTGATCACTTTGTAGCAGCTGGGGGTTCGGGTTTTCCTGGGCCGGGGGACGCGCGCAGAGGCAGACCTGGGCAGCGTTGGTCGGAGCCGCTGTTGCCTGTTGTCTCTGGACACGTTCTGAGAATCTTTTGCAGTTAGGTTGGTCAAGAAGGCAGCTGTAAAATGGCCAGTCAACCACAGTTGAGGCACGATCAGGAGTGACAGAATCGGATGAGCAGGGGCCACAGGGCGCCGCTTATAACTGCGTCCCCACCTGCTCACGGCGCAGGAGCCCTCGGCCTCTGCGGGCCCCTCGGAACAGGGCCCGGGCTGGGGGCCTTCCCTGACCGTCACCCTCGTGCCAGGAGCGCATCCTTCGGCTCCTCGCCTCCGGGGCAGGCGGCGTGCGGGCCGGGTCGGTTGTCTGACGGCTCCTCTCTCTGCTTTGTTCCTGTCACGAAGGTGACGGCGTCTCTCTTAGGTACCCCGTCTAAGACCAGCTCACTGCTCATTCTGACGGAGAACGAGAACGAGAAGAGGAAGTGGGTCGGGATCCTGGAAGGGCTGCAGTCGATCCTCCACAAGAACCGCCTGCGGAACCAGGCGGTGCACACGCCGCAGGAGGCCTACGACAGCGCGCTGCCCCTCATCAAGGCCGTGCTGGCCGCCGCCATCCTGGGTGCGTCCGCGGCCGCTGCGGGTGCCCGTCGTCCTCAGGGGTGGGAAGCCGTGTACGTCAGACGGCGCCGCCCCGTTCTCCTGCCGTCCATCTGAAGTTGTCCCTGCCCCACGTGTAAGAAGCGGGCGGTCTGTGCTGACAGAATGATGTCCTTTGTGTCCTTGCCCACAGATGGCGATAGGATTGTGGTCGGCTTAGAAGAAGGTCTCTATGTCATAGAGGTGACCCGTGATGGTGAGTGGCCAGGGGCTAGGGTCCACCCTGCGCTGTCTTGGGTCCTGCCTGGTCAGTGCAGACGAGCACAGCGTCAGAGGTAGGAACGTGCAGGGGTCACGATGAAGTCACTGGATGTGCAAATTGTCATCACATCAGAGAACTTTATACAGAGAGGGAAAGGCAACAGCCAAGAAAAATCAAATGGAACAAATGGAACGTCCCCTGAGTGTCCACGGGTGCCCAGACTGGAGGCAAAGCCCCGCCCCCCCCACAGGTCACAGCGCTAGGTTGGCTGTCGTGCGCGTTGTCCCTCCTTCCCAGTGAGAGCAGGCAAAGCGCCCACGTCAGCCCTCCTCACCGCCCTGGTCTAGGGTCAGAAGCACAAGGAGCGTGGGACTAGCCCTGCACCCAGGCCCCGGGCGCCGCCCCACGGAGTAGGGCTGCTTTGTGGTGGGCAGTGTCCCTTTTTGTCCCTTTTCGGAGCGTGGGACTAGCCCTGCACCCAGGCCCCGGGAGCCGCCCCACGGAGTAGGGCTGCTTTGTGGTGTCCCTTTCCTGATGGCCGGTGTCCACACGCCGGACCACGTGAAAGAAGGGTGTGCACGGCTGCTCGTGCCTTGGGGTCCAGGTCAAGGGCAAGCCCACAGAGTTAGGGCACCGGGGTGTTGGGTTAGTTTGGGTGCTTGGGGGGTCGGTGCTTTGTTCACCCAAGGGTCTGGTGAGCTCGGAGACAGTCCCTTGTTCCCCAGAAGCAACCCGAGGGTTCTCGGCTTCAGGGGTGAGCTGGAGGGAGGGCCAGGGCCATTCTGCTCGTGCCTTGGGGTCCGGGTCAAGGGCAAGCCCACAGAGTTAGGGCACCGGGGTGTTGGGTTAGTTTGGGTGCCTGGGGGGTCGGTGCTTTGTTCACCCAAGGGTCTGGTGAGCTCGGAGACAGTCCCTTGTTCCCCAGAAGCAACCCGAGGGTTCTCGGCTTCAGGGGTGAGCTGGAGGGAGGGCCAGGGCCAGGGCCATCATCCCGCACGCAGCATCTCCTAGCCGGGCCCTGGGGCCGCGGGGCTGTGAGAGGCGGCGGGAGCAGAGACAGAGGGTGTGAGTGAGGGTGGCAGGGCGCGGTGGCTCGTGACAGACGCGTGGCCTCACGCCAGGCTTCCTCCACAGTGATCGTCCGCGTCGCCGACTACAAGAAAGTGTACCAGATCGAGCTTGCTCCCGGAGAGAAGGTGGCGGCTGTTCTCTGCGGCCGCAGCCGCCACGTCCACCTCTGCCCCTGGTCTGCCTTCGACGGGGCAGAAGGCAGCGTCGACGTCAAGCTCCCAGAGACAAAGGGCTGCCAGCTCATGGCGGTCGGGACGATGAAGAGGGGCTCCGCCACCTGCCTGTTTGTGGCGGTGAAGCGGCTGGTCCTCTGCTACGAGGTCCAGAGGACTAGGCCTTTCCACAGGAAGTTCAGTGAGGTCGTGGCCCCTGGCACTGTGCAGTGGATGGCCGTGGTCAAGGACAAGCTCTGTGTCGGCTACCCTTCCGGGTTCTCGCTGCTGAGCACCCAGGGAGACGGGCCGGCTGTGACCCTGGTAAATCCCGGTGACCCCTCGCTTGCCTTCCTGTCCCAGCAGTCTTTTGACGCCCTTTGTGCTGTGGAGCTCAAAAGCGAGGAGTACCTGCTTTGCTTCAGCCACATGGGACTGTACGTGGACCCACAAGGCCGGAGGTCACGCATGCAGGAGCTCATGTGGCCTGCGGCGCCTGTCGCCTGTAGTATGTATATGTTTTCTGTTGCCATCCCCCCCGCCGCTGCTTTCACATCGCCCACCGGCATGTGTTCTATTGCTGTGGTTCGTCTCCCAGTTCCCCCGGCTGAGGCGCCGGGCGCCGCGGTTTCCGCGGGAGAAAATGGCCCGATCCGCCTCCCGGGCCAGCCGAGAGTGGCCTCACAGGTGGCCCCAGGCCCTCTTCCCTGTCACGCCAGCCTGCCGCCCGTGGCGCCTTCCCTGTCCCAGGCGTGGCAGGAGCCCCTCGCCGAAGAGTCACTCGTGAACGTACACAGCCTGGAAAAGCGGCGCGGGTGTCTGGGCTGGCCCGCGGGGCCGGGGCGCCAGGGTCCCAGCTGAGCCTCCTGGGGCGAGCTCTCTCCGACAGTGGTCGGGTCGGGGCTGTCCCGGAAAGCTTTGAGTCACTCGATGTGTTTAGTCGAAGTGGCTCTCTGTGTGAGCACTGGCGCGGGGCGGGAGTCGTGCAAGGCCCGAGAGCGTGCAGAGCAAGCCCGCAGGAGTCTGGGCTCCGCGGGGTCACCTCCCGCCGGGCCTGCTGTCCCACCTTCAACAGACCCTGACCTCAGAGCCCCCGCCTCGCGCTA